CCTTGGGTCCACTAGATCTGAAGGGGTGAATTACTGCTCCATAACTCACAAGGTCCCATTGTAAGAGACCCTGGTCAAAGAGAATTAACTTCTACAACCATGTCAGGCAAAGGCAACCCAAGATCTAAGAGTAAGGGATGAGGGGGACACAAATGAATTTGGAAGCTTGGCTCCTCACTTCAAAGAAGCCAGATATCAGAGAATAATGTCAGACTCTCAGTAAAAACAAATGGCCTCTCAGCCCAACATAGCCCTTGGTATTTTTCACCAAAGCCCTGACATGCATGTCTGGAAGGCTCAAGCATTTCAGCCTTTGAGATTTGATGAAATAACTGGGCTGTAAGCCTAGCCAGGACATGGGTGAGGTATTCACCAGCTATCTGCATCCTGGAGGCAGAATGGGCTGTGATATCCTAGGGCACCCCAGTGTCTTTCTTTCTGTCCTCCCCACAAGCATTTTTCTCACTGATGAGTGAAATTTCACCATTTTAATTTCATTTGTTTGAGGTAAATGTTAATATCCTTTTATTTCCTTTTTTTAAAAAAGGTATTGACAGGATGCATAAATAAACATATAGCACTTAACTCACGGAGAGCTATGAGTTCAGATCTGTGCTCCGCAATTTGCAACCTGTGAAATCTTGGGGAAATTGCTTACCCTCTTTGAGTTTTAAGTTTCTTATCTGCAAAATGGGGATTATAAGAACACTAACTTCTGAGGACTGTCATGAGGGTTAGATAGAAGAAAGGATATAATACTTAGCAAAGTGTCTGACATTTTGTGTAAGACTTCAATAAAGAATAAAAAGTATTATTGAAAATACTCTTCAGAGAGTGGCATGCATGCCAAAAATCACATAACTGACTGTGTTCTTTTAAATTCTAGAATATGAATGTCATTCCCTGGAAGGAAAAAAAAAGGATGACTAATCAATATAATTCAAAGATACCTTTTTCTAATATAGTATCAAGGAGTAGTTTGCCATCTCTGAGGTAAATCTGACTTTTGGAAATCTCTAGAAACCTAGAGCAAATCCACCACAACTTCAGATGGTCCTATTTAGTTTAGGAGATTAGTACCATGTGAAAGGACCTGTCCCATTTTCACTCCCTCTCAGACCTCTTCTAGCATCTGTTGACCTTCTGCTATCTGTCCTAAACTTTTACCAAAGACAAAAAGAAAAAGGTTATAATTCATTACAGTTCATTAAAATGAAAATAAAATTTATTTTGCATCGAAATGAAAAAAATATGACTCATTTATTATTAGCATATAAATGGCATTTTTTAATGTCACTCTGCCTCAAAATCACTTACATTTTCAGTGATCACAGCACACAAAATTAATTTTTGATAGCCTTTTGTGATTTGGCTGAAAAATCTTATTTCTTTTTGTGCCTTAAACAGCAAACTGTATCCACTGCTATTCATAGCAAATTTTAGATAATGAAGCAATTAAAAATACATGGATTTAAGATCTTATCTCATTTTTCCTTTGGCCTATTTCTGCTTCATTATTCATGAAGGGATATGTTTAATTCAGAGTTAGTAATTGCAGATATTTCTAGTATAAATTGTGCCTTATATTCTTTGCCCATTTCAATTTATTTTAGCGAATTTCTATTTGGAAAAAGTAGTTGAGGGAGGGGAGAGTATGAAAAAATGCAGGAACCTCTCTGTATGTGTGTGTGTGTATATGTGTTGATTAGCATATCCAAACATCTCAAAAATGTTAATAATTTAATTTCCTGAGGATTTACCATTAGAGAGCCAGGCACTGTGTTGAACAATTACATGTGGCATTTCAGTCTTAAGAATAATCTTATGAAAGAGATACAATTAGTGATCCCACTTCTTAGATATGAAGACTGGGGCTTAGAGAGGTTACAAAACTAGGTAAAAGTCACATAGTCAGAAATGACAGAGAACTGTGGTCAAAACTGACTTGTCTGCCTCCAGAGACTGTCCAACCATCCATTAAAAAAATATCCTTTTGCCCAACACTGTTTTTCATGTCCTTGGGCCACGTGCATCTGAATCTCAAAGAGGTTGGTCAAAGGCCTTCAAAATCACTCTGCTCTCCACCCAGTAGAATCCCCAGTTCATAAAGTAGCTTGTCCAAGGAGCATGTCACTTACTTGGTTTCCATGAACCCTAAATATATTTTAGGAATTTATCCTAGGGCAGCAACAGAACAAGTACACATAGTTTCTTGTCCTACAACTTGTCAAGGGGCATTATGTACCAATAAAAAAGAGAAAAAGAGATGAAAAAGCAAGGGAAGAAAAGAAAAAAATGTAGCTTAAAAAAGTTTAATTACAGGTTAAATTAATTCTGATGCATTTATTCAGAATTCTACTCTGGAACATTAAAAATAATGATGAGAATCTTAGTTTACTGCCATGCAAAAATTTTCCTGGGAAATTGTTGCATAAAAATAGCAAGTTTATAAAACAATAATGTTCTCCTATTTTAATAAAAAGCAAAGTATATGTACATATGCGTGTGTGTTAGAGGAGAGAATCTTGAAAAGTGCTATCCAATAGAAATATAATGCACGTTGCATATGTAATTTAAAATTTTCCAGTAGCCACATTAAAAAAGTTAAGCAAACAGGTGAAATCCATTTTAATGACAGATTTGATTTATTCCCAATGAAATGAAATATGATCATTTCAGTCTGTAACTGATCTAAACTTATTAATGAGATATTTTACTTTTTTTTTGGAATAAGTCTTTGTAATCTGGTATGTCTTTTGTACTTACAGAATATCTCAATTCAGACAAGCCCTATTTCTACTGTAGTGATCACCACAGAGCACAGGGCAAGTCAAACTATTATATACAACTTGTTGATTGTTGGGTGGTATGATGATGAGGTATTTTTAATGTGTTCAGCATACTTTTCTGAATTTTCTGACTTTTTCAAAACATAGTGTACCATTGATAAAGTTCCTCCCAGTTTATGGGAGAAGAGGGTTTCTGGATTAAATAACTTGTCCAAGGTCTTGCAGCTAAGGTTTTGTGGAATGAGTTAAATCTGCAGTCCAGCTCTTTGGTGGCCAAGCTCTTTGCCACCAGCTATACTACCTGGCGAGAGGAGTGCGTGACTCGGGGAAGCGGTCAGCCTTGGTCTTCCTCATGGGTCCGGGACACTCATGCTTCCACATTGCATCTTCTGCTCCAGCTGCCCATTCTCAGCGTCTGGTGCCCCTCCACGTGCAGGACTGACCCCAGCTCCCTCTCAGTCCATTTTGGATTCTAGTCCAAATCATTAGTTCTCTTCCAGTGTAACATTGCCTGGGCTTTGCTTTCCCTGTAGTGGCAAAATATCACCTTGATTACTTCATTAGACTCTGAGGTGGTCCTATTGATGCTGCTTCTGGAAAGAACATTTTAATTAATGGGAAAGTGTCTTCACTAACTCTTTTACTCTGTCCCTGTATTGCACTGATGCCCCACTATGCACACCTCCATTCCAGACTCTGGGGATACAAGAGAGAACAAATTAGGCAAAATTGCTACCCTTACAGAGCCTGAGTTATGGCAGTGGAGACAGAACAAATTGAGCAAATAAATGTGCAGTATGGCAGGGGTTGGTGAGACCTATGGAGATAAATAAAGGACGAAAGGGAGACCAAGGTGTTCTTATGTGGGATGATCAGGAAGTTGTGTCTGATGGGTGACATTTTACAGAGACGTGTTGGAAGTGACAGAGTGGTCTTGAGGCTATTTGAGAGACAAGTATCAGAACATGCAAAATTCCTGAGACAGGTGTGTTGGCATGATCAAGGAACCATGAGGAGGCCACAGTGGCTGGAGCAGAGCTTATTCTGTCTGTTCTGGAAGTGTGATATAGAGGTTGAGAGTTAGAGGAGTCGAGTAGACTTAAGATATCTAATATGCAATTGTAAGGTATTGGCCTTGCTATGATGGAAACTCATGATCACCCCTAAGCATTGACAATGAAAAATATATTGAGAAACATCAGAAAAAGAGGCTCTTTCCTCTGGGTCCATGCAGTGCAGAGAGAAGAGGACAGCCTTAAGAGAGAAAATGAGCAACTGGGGAGCAGGAACTTGCAGGCAGATGTAATTAAGAGGAACCCAAGCCCTAAGGGATTCATAAAAGTCTTGGGAGGATGTTAGAGTCACAGGACTTGGGATGGAGGCTCAGGCCAAATTTATTGAAACCTCAAAGGAAGGGGTGACTCTGGCTTATACTGGGTCAAACTCATTTAGGACACCAAAGATTTGGAGAACCCTGTCATCTTAATGTGGTCTGTTTTTAGTGAGTGCACCCTGTGGCTTAAACCTGATACTCAAACTGGTTTTTTAAATCTATACGTAAAAGTAGATGTGTGGGTAGAAAGCAAAAGGATGCCCCATGGATGGGCTCTTAAACAGCACATTCCTTGGCGTGCATAAAATGTTGTCTGGGCTGGATGGGAGCTTGATTTAGAAAGATCCTCCTTATGCCACAAAGATGCAGAAACGAGGGATGTTTGTGTTGCCACCCTGGCCTGCAAATGCCCATTTCTAACCATTCTTTAGAGCATTCATTTCTCAGCTGCAGAGGGGACAGTGTCCAAAAAACAGGTAGGATTCACTTTGCATGCCAACTGTTCATATTGCCAGAAAGCCATGCCATCTGGATGTCATCCTGATACACTCCTTCCTGCACATAGAGTAAATCTCTGTCATCATGCATTAAGCATCATAACATAATCTTCTGGGTTCTAGTCTTGGCTGGTCACTAACTAGCTTGGGAAGGTTACCATAAGTCTTCTGAGTCTCAGTTTCCTGTACTGGGAAGAGAATCATTATTAAAATGAGAGTCATTAGGTTGTACTGAAGACTGCAAAAGGAAGGCTTAGCAGAAAATCCAGCCAATGGCAAACTCTTAATAAAGGTTAGTATTAAATAAATGAAAGCATCTACACCGCCAGCAGAGAGCTACCTGTATTTTGTTTTATTTCTTTTCCTTTTTTTTTTTTTTAGACATAGAGAAAAATGACAGGGACTCACTTTCCAAAAAATTACACTGTGTTCAATGACTTCCCATCAAGAGTAAGCAATGTTCCGTATCCTGCCATTGGTAAGTACCAAATGGACCCATGTCAGACAAGGCATGGCTTTTAATCTCCCTTTATTTGGCATGTCACCTGTCAGTGACCTTGACTGTTGCCGGCTGCCTCCTGTTCTGCAGTTTACTGATAAGTGTGTTTACGGCTTTTGAAGGCATGTCTGCCGAAAACCACATCTGGTTCACCGCCGCCTCAGCAGACACACAATGAAATATAAAGGCTAATTCTGTGGTGTACACAACCCATGTCTGTGTTCCCAGCGGATTCCAGATGGAGTGCACTCAGCAGAGGCAGTTCTTTGATGGCTGTGAGCCTGGGGGAGGAGAGGGGTGTGGGGTGTGATGCTGAGCTGACAGGGGTCCCGGGATCTCAAACACAGGATGGGACAGGGAGCTCTCTTCCCAGGGAGGACTGTGAGGCTTTGCAACCCTGCACCCCACCCCCTTGCTGCTGAGTCCCCTGGGGACCTATGTGCAGAGCCAGGTTGAGATGTCTCGGATGAATTGTTGTTTCTCACCCCAGTTGTCTCACTTGGGGAGCATGATGCAAATACTGATGTTGGGAGGAACGTTCAGTGTTACAGGAGTGTGGAAGAAGCATTTTATACTTTATTCGCGTTTGAGTGATGAGATCCTTACTTAAAAGTCAAATAAAAAGATCAGCTATCGCTTATGGAACATCTGCTACATGCTAGTCTAAACGTTTTCTTTGCCCGGGTGCAGTTCTGTGAGGTAGCTGTCAGTGTTACTATGTCCATTTTACAGATCTGGAATCTAAAAGAGGTAAATAAAGCAAGTTGCCCAAAGGTGACCAGTCCTTAGAACTTGAGTTTTTTCAAACTTTTGGCTGTTTACATACATTTCATTCATATTGCATGTATGCCTAGCAGCTTCATTGGGCAATCCTAGGCTGTACATATGCTCACTGCTAGATACTGCCAATCCATGTTCTGAAGTCATTATGCCAATCCAAGCAGCAGAGCCAAATTTGAAGACAAGTCTGGCTCATTCCTGCTCTAATATTTTTAAGTACTGCAATATATCCCAATACACTCCCACAGTGCCACATGTAAATGGCAGGGACTTCCCAGAGAAACATTGCTCCTGGCAAGTAGAGGGTTTTGATGTGGAGGTTATTTAGCTAAGTAGATATTTGTATTAACTTATAACACACACTAAGCAATGGGCATCCATCTAAAGCAAGGTATAAGATCCTTACTAACACCCCTGAGAGCTTTCCCTCCAACTTTGTCCTCCTTCAAGGTTATCTTTACTCTATTGACCCTTTGCATTTCCATATACATTTTAGACTCATATGTTTACTTTCCATTAAAAAAAAGTTGCTGGGATTTTGAATGAGAGTATATTGAATTGATACATTAATCAGACAATTTTGTTATTTGGTGTTTTGTTTCCTCCCTAAATACTGAAAATAATTCATTATATATAAAGTCACTTGGGCCAGGGGTAGTTGTTGTGTGTGTGGGTGTCGGGGGGAAGTGGGGCAGGAGGGATCAACAGTCTGCAGATATAATATCTTTATTAGCTATAGGAGTATTCAAATATTCTGATGTTTTTTGTGTTACTTTTACTAAGTTGTTTTTAGGAGAAAATTCCCATTACATTGAAATTTTCTAATCTATTGGTTTAAGACTGTTTCTACAGTGCATGGAGGAATTTTGTCTGATGGAAACATTCTATGTCTTGATTGTGGTAGTGTTTGCTTAGGGTTATACACTTGTTAAGATTTATTGAACTGCATACTTAAAAGTGGTACATTTTATTATGGCACCTTTTACTCTAGTCGCATGGATGGACCTGGAGCTCCCTGACCATGCTGGCTATTTTCTTACCTCTCTGAACATGCTGCTTCCCTTCACTGAAACGGCCTTCTTCCCTGATTAACTCCCTTGTGTCCTCCAAATCTCAGCTTAGAGTTACACAACAGGTGACCAGGCATCTGAGGAACCACTCAGAAAACAAATAAAAGGTAGATTTCTACCTATCAGATTCCAAAATCAAAGTCCAACAGATGATACATTTTTCACAGTTGCTTAAATTACAAAAGTTGGGCTTGCTCATTGTAAAAAGCCCTGAGCCGGCTATTACAAAAGTATACAAAAATAAAAATTGAAACCTGCTCTTCATCATCTCCATTTTATCTCAAGGGTAACTTATTTAAATAAAGATTTAAATATTTTAAAATCAAACTTTAAAATATTCAGACAAACAAGAAGATACTAGTTTTAAAATCTGATGGGAAGGATTTTCTTATGTGAACCCAAAGGCAGAAATGAAATAACCAGACTAACTTTTCTCTGGGAGAAAAAGTTTTAAAAATTCTGTGTGCATGAAAAACTGGGAAACGATTTAACATACATGATGAACCAGAATGACAGTATCCTTAATATGTAAAGAGGTATTTCAAATTAATGTAGATGGAAAAGACAGAAATAGGCAATTCTGAAAAACAAAATAAATGTAAGCATACATAAAAATAAATAATATCTACTTATAGGGAGATTGTGGGAGAAATTGGCACCTTTGTATCATGCTGGTGGAATTGAAAATTAGCAAAACCTTCTGGGAGAAGATCTGGCCTTATACATTAAAAGCCTTAAAAAGACAGCTTGATTTTGACTCAATGATTTCACTGTTAGGAATTCTTTCTGAGAAAATAAAGGAGAATATATACAAAAAATGAGCTACACACATATTCATCACAAAGTTGTTTATAGTAGCAAGGAAAACTGTAAACAACCTAAATTCCAAATTTAGAGTCTTCACTAAATAAATTATGGTGCATTCATTTAATAGAATAGTATGAAGATTGGTAAGATGATTTAATTTCTTAAGAAGGTGTTCACAGTATTCTGTATTAACTGAAAAATGAACAGATTAAAAATTAGTACATATTAAATGATCCAGCTTTTTAAAAAGGGTATACATTTATGCATATCATACAGAGAAATGCCTGGAAGAGTGTATTTCAGTGTGTGTGTGTGTGTGTGTGTGTGTGTGTTGGAGGGTGGTTCAGAGTAGTGGGATTATGGGTGATTTTTATTTACCTGTAAGTTTACCATGAGGAGAAAGTAAAACAGGTCTTCGCTGAAGCATCTTGTCCTTAAAGAAGATTCCCTGGCCCCTCATGCTTACAGATGCTCTCCTTGGGCTCTTCCAGCGCATTATCTCTTGAGACCAATAGGCTGTGCTGAGACGTGTGTACTTCCCGTTATTCTCACTAGATTGCAACTTCCTGGAGGAAAAGAGACATGCTTGCTTCACCGCTGTAAACTCCATTTGTAGCTCGAAAAATGTTTGTTGTGTGGTGAATTAAGGATGTCCTATAATTTATTCTTCTACTATTTCATTTGTGAGGTCCTCGCGGCTTCAGTGGTTATTTCTAAAGTTGAAAATCACAAATGACCTGGCCTGGAAAGACCAATTTCTTCAAACCCTGATTGTACAGATAGAGAAACTGAGGTTGGGAGAGATGAAGTGGCTCCACCCAGGTCACATAGCAGGCTAGGCACGGGCCAGGACTAGACCCAGACTCGTTACTTTCTTTCTAGGGCCTTCTATCATAGCAGTTTGCTTAGTGGATCTCCTGATTTCCTTTGGATAGTGAAGAAATCTAACACACAGTTTCCAAAGGGGATGAGTGTTTCCGGGTAGGGCTGGACTGGGGCATTACAAAAGGAAGAAATCTGGGTGTCGCCATGAAGCAAGATGCAAAGCCAGATTTTATGATGTCCCATCCTGTCTCCAAGTCCTGAAATCCAGGGTGTGTGCGTGTGTTTACGTTGGAAGAAAATGCAAAAAAACTTCATTTAAGTAGCATGGTGAATTCAGCCTCTCAGATCCGCCACCCTAAGAAATCAGCCTTTGATTTCTTTTCTCTAGCACGCCTTCGCACTCTCCTTCTGAGCTCTGAAATTTGCTGGGTCACTGCATTTCCGTTTCCACCTCACTTCATCTGAATAGCCACAGTGTCAGTGAGGGAATTCAGGCTCCCAGCTGGGGGCCCCAGAGAGTTTATTTCTTCACACTTAATGCAGTCTCTGTGTACATAAGCTCTGAAGTCTGTACGGCACCTCTGAGCAAAGAGCTGGACAGTGAGTTGAGTTACCCAAGTGGTTATGTGTAGAGGGCTTGTTGTATTACACAGATGGTTTCATTTAATCCTCGCAACAATTCTGTGGGGAAGTAGGACTTACTATCCCCATCAGACCGACGAGAACAGCGAGTCTGAGAGGAGAGGTGCCTTGCCCAGGGTTATAGAGTGGCAGGTGGCTGAGACCAGCTGGGATGCTGACTGTCCTGCTTACAAGGAAGTTGTTTGTTTTCCCCCCTCTGGAAGGTACCATCCATGGCAAACTTCAGGGTGGCTGACTTTTAAAAAAGCAACCTTAGTGTTGCCAGAACATTTAGGAGTAAGTAACTAAAACTGACTCTAGCTGATAAGAGTTGAGAAATTCAGTATCAGTCGTTCTTAGGGGACACTCAGCTCTTCTTGGGGTTCTACAAGTATTTGGGGACCTGGGAGGTAGTTAGAAAAGTGAAACAAGGCTTGGTTCTGAGTGTCTTGGGGATGTCGTCGTGAGTGCTGCATTTCCCACCATGCTGTGATGCTGTGGCCCTGTGCCTTTTTTCTGATGTTTCAGAGATGCCCTGCAGAGCATCATTTCCACTGACCACCAGCTCAGCCACAGATCCACAGATATCCACCCTGGTACTCTTGAGTCTTCCTTATACTTATGAGTAGTCACCACTGAGGCCACCATCCTTTGCAGAATTCCTAGTCTTATGGCCATACCATCCTGTGGGTGGATCACTCCAGAGCCATTCCCCTCTGCGGCTGAATGAGAGCGCCCAAACCTCCAGGACCCAAAAGCCCTGCTCACCCTCTTAAGATGACTATATAAATTTTATCATCCCCTCTTAATTTTTCTTATTTTTGTGCATTTTGAGGCATAGCTTACATAGGATAAAATGCACAAATCTTAAGTATA